TTCAAGTCTTCTTCAACACAACACGATGTTCATTTAGTGAATTATGGTCCATTTAGCGTCAAACAGACCATAAAGCAGGGGACGCTTATTGACAGAGAGACGTTTCTACGTCCTCCTCAGTCCAGTTATGGTCACTTCCTGTTCATTAGTTGCACCTAATAACATCAGCAGATCGCTCTCCCCTCGATCGGTTGCTCGCTCCTCTTCTGGAGAGAACTGCTGCGTCGTCCCGTGGGCGGCCATTTGTTTCCAGTAATCATCGGTTGGGCCCGTGTTCCCTTTATAATCGCTCACAGCTGCTCCGTCCCTCCTCTTCCTCCGACTCATGACAGGTTAATGGAGGATGCTCGGCCGACCCCCCACCGGGCCGCTAAACGCTGATGAAAATAAATAAAAATACCTTGTGATGCAACGAGGGGGAAAACGAAGGGAACGAGGACAGAAGAGTAGGAAACTAAAGGGAGGAAAAAAGGAATAAGAAAACATTAATGTATGTAACAGTAAAAAGATTTCCACCTTTGGTCTTTTAATCGTCTCTCCCAGCAAAAGGTTCTTGGAGGCGACTTCTTCAACAAAGTGTGCGGCCACCTGAAGCTGCTGGAGAAAGAGTACTTCGGACTGGAGTTCCGACACCAGGGAGGAAACTACGTGAGAAACACACACACGCAAGCGTAAAGATACTTCTGGTGGAGGAGACGGGTGGTGTAACTGTGTGCTGCTGCTCGTAGGTTTGGTTGGAGCTGCTGAAGCCGCTGGCCAAGCAGATCAAATGTGAGTTTCCAAAGGGTCTGGCCCGTGTGGGGGCGAGCTAATCGCGGCTAACGAGGAGTCACCGCGGACTTACTCGTTACCGCAGTAACTAAACTTTTATCTCGTCGTAAGTTTTGCTGTGATTCTTTGCTTCCACTTCCTGTCTCCGTGGTCAGACACCAGCGATCTCTTCTTCCGGTTCATAGTGAAGTTCTTCCCACCCGATCCTGGACAGCTGAAGAGAGGCCTCACCAGGTAACGAGGTCCTCTGAGCCATTGATGTTATAGATCCACGAGAGGACCCATTGGTCGACTGATGGGGTCCACACATCGTCTCAACGTGTGTGTGTTTGTGTGTGTGTGTGTAGGTATCTTTTTGCCTTACAGATAAAGCAGGACCTGTCCAACGGCAGTCTGACCTGCAACGACAACAGCGCCGCCCTGCTGGTCTCTCACATACTGCAGTGTAGGCATTACGTCGTCAATGGACGACATCGCACCTCTCTCTGATCAAACAATGCTTTCAATGTAACCACCTTTCAGTGCATTATTCTTGTGTTCTAGACAGAAGATTTACTTGTGGTGGCTAATTTTAAGTCAAGAATAGGATGCAAATATTTTTTTTAAATGTAAATGTGTGTGTGTTTGTGTGTTGCAGCAGAGCTAGGCGACTACGACGACGAGATGGACAGTCAGCATTTAGAGATGAAGCAGTACGTCCCCAACCAGGAATACCTGGACCACAAGATCACCAAGTTTCACAGGAAGCACAGGTACAAACTCTCCTGCCTTCTCGCCAATGTCCACCGGGGGGCGACTCCTCCGGTCCCATAGAGGTCTATGAGAAGACGACTTCTCTCTTGATTGATTCCCTCAGTAAACATTGAGTCCGTGGGCTCAATCTCTAGTTTCTGTCTTCAAGACAGCCTGATGTTAGTGAATGATGGTCCATTTGGAGTCAGATTTAGGGCGGGGCTACACGCTGATTGACAAATCGCTTCGACCTGTAAAAGTGTGATGGTTGATAAAAACACGCGTCCCCGGCAGAGGCGCGTCCCCGGGAGAGTCCGACATTCAGCTGCTGGAGGTGGCGAGGAAGCTGGACATGTACGGCATCAGGCCTCACCGCGCTCACGACGGGGAGGGCATGAGGATCAACCTGTCCGTCACGCACTCGGGGGTCCTGGTCTTTCAGGTCAGTGGTCCGGTTCTGGAACCCAAAGCCGCAGCGGGGCTTGATGCTGATGCGGGGTTTTTTTTTCCCGCTCTCAGGGAAACACCAAAATCAACACGTTCAGCTGGGCCAAGATCCGCAAGCTGAGCTTCAAGCGCAAACACTTCCTCATCAAACTGCACGACAAAGTCGGGGTGAGCGCGCACCACTCACACGCACACTCGCGTGACCATCCGTGCGCGTGCACGGGCGCCTACTGACGGCGGTGCGTTTGTGCGCGCAGGCGTCCTGCAAGGACACGCTGGAGTTTTCCATGGCCAGCCGAGACGTGTGCAAGTGCTTCTGGAAGACGTGCGTGGAGTACCACGCCTTCTTCAGGCTGTCCGAGGAGCCCGAGACGGCGCCCAGGACGCTGCTGTCCTGCAGAGGCTCCAGCTTCAGATACAGGTGCTCCTGGGACCTGAAAAGTGGAGCTGGGATTCGTGGTCATATTTTCATTTCATGATCTGCGAATATTAGATGAATGTAGTGAGGTCAAAAGTACACGAATACAGTACTTTAAGAATAAAGTCCCTCGAAAATGTCTCAGGTTCAGTACTTGACTGATGATGATGATTTTTCCTTTTGTTTGTGCGTCAGCGGACGCACACAGAAGCAGCTGCTGGAGTGCATGGGGTCCGGGGAGAAGAAGCCCTCCAACTTTGAGAGGTGAGAACAAGTTCCTCAGGCTGCTCTGATTGAGCTGGAGTCCCAGGGTGTCGTCTTAAGTCTCCTCGTTCCGTCTCATGCGTCTCTTTGTCCCCTCGCTCTTCATCCAGGACTCGCCGTCAGTGCGACTACGATCCCCGACAGTGCCGCTCCTCCCCCGACCTCCTCACGGACGTCTCCAAACAGGTGAGGACAACCGCCGCTCACGCAAACACGCATCTGATGCTTTATGTCATAGTATTTATTCACATTTTAGTATCTTTGGGTCTCGTCGTCAACAGAACATCGTGAAGATCAAAGTAACATTTTGTCTGATGTTTGTGCTTCTCACCTCCTCAGATTTACGAGCACTCCCGCCTGTTCACCCGGCCGGGTCACGTCCTGGCGGTCCGCAGCGAAGATGAGGTGGACGCACGTCACCGCGGCGTGGACGACGCCAACGTCAGAGCAGGGGGCTGGGCTAAGCGCAGCCAATCGTCCGTCGAGGTCCCCCACAGGACCCGCCCCCTGGCCCAAGTTACCCCCCCTCTCTCCCTCTCCTCACCCGTCCCCCACCCCCTCGCCCAAGACGAGAGTCAGCCTCCACCTCCGTGATGGAGGAGCTGAGGGTAGGACAGATTGGGGTGCAGCGCCAAGCCCAGAGGCTGGCCGGCGTCTACGGAAACCGCTCGCGGCGTCGGCCCAACCCCCAGCCGCATCCGGACGCCGGCCAGCAGCTGGTGCTCCTCTACCCGAACAGCCCGGCCTATCGGTATCGCCCCGTCCTCCCGACGTTCCCCTGGGCCGGGTCCTCGCCTCTCAACCGCCACCCGTACCTGTCGGACTACGTCACCGTCTCCTCCCTGGAGCGCCTCCCGCAGGCGAGGCGGCGGGAGTATTTGAACGCAGACGGGCCGCCGCAGCCGCCCTTCTACCCGACGGGTGGCCGCCACTCGCCGTCGCTCTCGCCTGCCGGGTGGAACCTGCGCCACCCCCCCGGGCCGGGGCTGGCTCGGGTTTACCTGCCGGGGGGCAACAGGGCGAGGCTATTGGGCGATGGCCGCACGGAGGCGGGACATTACAGCGACGACTCCAACTTCCTCCCCGGGCTGCCGCGCCGCGCGGCCAACCAAGCCGACGTGAAGTTTCACCTGTCGAGGAGTTCCAACCCCGCCTTCGACCCCGCCTCCGAGTTCCGCCCCCTCGGGTACTACCCCCACCTGACGCGCCCCTCCAGGCCCACCTACCTCCCGCTAAACTCCTCCCCTCTGCCCAATCGACCCGCCTCGCTTCACGCGATCGGAGGGGCCTCGGGGAGCTACAGTGACTCGGACCCGGAGGTCTTCTATCCGTACTACTGCCCACCCCCCCAGCTCGGTAGAGTGGTACGGCCCGCCGGACTCGCCAGGATGAGGTTCTCCTCCGGGAGCCTTCAACTGGACGAGGAGGAAGAGGAGGAAGAGGAGGAGTATAGAGCGGCAAAGGAGAGAGGAAAAAGAGACCAGGCGGGCGAAGGTGATAATAAAGGGAAGATGGGGTCGGGAGAAGGGACGAAAGGTCCCGCAAAGGTCACCGAGGTCACTCTGTAGAGGAAGTAAAAAGCCCCAAAAGGTTCATGATCACACTGAAAAGGAGCAGACTAAAGAGACATTGGTTATGTGAGTCAGAGAAATGTGTCATGTACGGTTATTGCCTTTGTTTTTACTGAAAACCTCAGTTTCTTTAGTAGCGACTGACTAACAAAACGAGGATTATTCATTGAACGCGGACTAGCGCGTACGGGTCAAACCGCTCGTTAGCTTTGGTTTCACTTTGATAAACAGCCATCAGATCACTAGATATTATACGCTGCTTCGGCTCGGTGAGATATTTCACTCATAAAAAAGGAGAATTTTGAAATTCTGCTTGGTTGACTCTGTTAGCTAACGCTAGCTAGGCGCTACCAGGCACAATGTCTCAAATGAACACAACCAGCAGGGCCGTCGTTTATTTATCCAGAAGGATTTCGGTTTTCTATGTTGTTGAAGCATTCGTTACGGACCATCCTCAGCCGTATGCGAGGCATTATTTCTCAAATGTACACGTTTGTTTTGCCGATTTTTGTACAACTGACTTTGAAAATACCATAATTTACTACATTTGGCAGAACATAATAATTTCTCCTAAAGAAAGTACATTTTTAAAGTTAAAGTTTTTTTTATTTCAAGGCAGATTTCAAGAAAGTGCATTTTTAATAATAATAAGTGGTCTTTGTAATGAAGTCTGGCGTGTGGGTGTTATTGGATGACGTGTGTAGCTGGGCATGTGTTTGTTATTTAAATGAATGGTTCTTGTGAATTGTGAACGTTTTCTTGGTTTAAAGCACTAATAAAGGATTAAAGGCACGGGATCATGTTTATATTGATATACAATTTATCATATGATCATTTATTTGTTGAGTATCTCCCCACAAAGCAATAAGGTTTTATCCTTTTGTTTAGAATCACACAAGCAAAAAAGGTCAATCGACTATTATACACAACATTTCTAAAATTGACATGAAAACTTTCATTGAGATAAATACAAAAAAAACAACTTGTTTCTCAATCAAACTTAAATATTTATTCATAAAACTCTAAAGACCCTCTACAAAAAAAAAAAGAAAATTTTGAATTTACATTTCCCCCTCAACAAGCATTTTCACATCCCTTATGATATATAAAAAGACAAAAATATACAATGACCAAGTCTTATAGTGTCTTTGGTACAAACTATCAGTAATATCTTTGATTGCAGTTCCCTTCGTGCTGCTTTCCAAGGTATCAAAAACAACGTTACACATCAAGCGTTTTGTTAAGAATCGACTTTCAGCCCAAACTCGATGCATCAAAAAAGAAAGACCTTTGTTTCCGTTTGTTACTTTCAGATTGAAAATATTCCTTTTTCCTTTTATTTTCAATGAAATCATTTCCCAACAAGACACGTTTTGAACATCCCAGAATTTAATTTTAACCAACATTTACTTCTCAAAGAATAAAACCATTGATATTTTTACTCAGCTACTTACTTTGCTAACAGCTTAGCGACAGATAGCTGGCTACCTAGCTTACTTATCGGAAAGCTACTAGCTCGTAAGGTAGCTTCAAAAAAGTGTGTCCAAAACGATCAATTTGAAACTTGCGCAATTGAAACGTTTATATCGATGAATGCAAGTAGTTTGTTTGAAAACAGTTAGCCAGCAGCTACTCGTTAGCCAGCAGCTACTCGTTAGCCAGCAGCTACTCGTTAGCCAGCAGCTAGCGTCCAATAATGAATCAGAGTTCTTAAAACTGACTTGTTTAGAAACTTGAAATGAAAGATTCAGTCACTTCAAGGGAAACACTCACCTCGGATGTTCAAATAATTACCAGATCACTGGAGCTAAAACTCGGTCCACTGGTGGATCAGATCTCTAAAAGCAGCTACGATTTCCAGGGCTGTAAAATAATCACCAAATTAAACCCTGGAGAGTTTCGTTGGACATCAACTGAGTTCTGGGATGAGGGAACCGTAATTTAAAGAATCACTGAAGACAACAAAAAATATGTAATATTGGCATATAATGTGTCTCAAGTGCTATCGGACAAACAAACTTCTAGTCAAGACGAGCTGCGACAAGAAAACTAAACCACTGCGAGTGGACGGCTTCTCTCCAAAAAGCACTAAAACGACCGTCTGCATAAATAATCCAGGCACATGATGGTAATCTGAAGGAGGTTTAAACTCCCAGTGAGCGACTGAAATTTGCATTGAGTCAGACCCAAAATAAAAAAAGAGAAGTTCATGGACCTAAAAAGAAGAAACGAAACCACAAATCCAACTGAAAACTTGAAGATTGTCTTTTCAAAACTAGAGCAGCCGATTAAAAGAAGACAGCAAATTTGGAATTCAACATGGGGGAGAAAACGGTCTTAAACCTGCAGCAGTAAATATATATGTATGTATAATATCTAGTGTATATATTACATTAGTAGTGTGTGTGTGTGTGTGTGTGTGTGTGTGTGTGTGTGTATGTTGTGTGTACAGCGAGGAGAGATCCGAGAGAAATCTCTGCCGTTTCCATAGAGATCCCCGAAGGGAGACCCAGGCACTCATCAGATGAACCGTCACCTCACTGCATCTCCGAAACCCGCCGGCCTCCCTCAGTTGGTGGAGAATCTGCGTGCAGAGGAGGAGGAGGAGGAGGAGGAGGAGGAGAGCACCGACACGTCAGCGATGTTCAGATGCAAACACACAACACAGCGAATGAAACGCAGACGGAAGCGGGAAGGACGGACTCGTGGTACCTGGCGATGATGTGAGTGACCACCTGTCCGTGATGCCGGGGCAAACCTCCTCAGCCAATCGGATGTTGCGTTCGAGCTCCTCGATGGCCAGCCGTTGCTCGGAGTGCTCCTTGTGCTGCTGCTTCAGCTGCCAGAGAACAAAGAAAAATGTCCACAAGCGTCATTCACTCGAAGTCACGTCGGCACAAAAACGCTATTTTAACTCTTTTCCACTACGAATTACTGAGCTAAAAAAATGTGTGTGTGTGTCTGTGTGCGTGTGTGTGTGTGTGTGCGCACTGACCTCAGTGAAGACAGGAGAGATGACGGTCGCCAGACTGGCAGATTTACTCAGATGATCTTGACTCTGCACAGATGAGGAGAAACGAGGTGTGAGTCAGAATGTAAAGTAGGACACACACACACACACACACACACACACACACACACACACACACACGCACACAACTGACCGTTCCATTGAGGACCTTCCTTCCCTCCGCCGGCTTCTTCTTACGGACGGTGGTGAAAGACCACTCGGGGGAGTCGCTGTTCTCCTTGTTACTTGACTCACTGATATACACACACGCAGACGCACAAACACACACAAAAAAAAGACACACTTAGAACTGCATTGATGTTCATGTGGACACAAAACAGAAAGAAACAGAGTAAAATCAGCCGGTGGAAACGAGGAGAAGGTAAAATACCCGTCAGAGTCGTCCGAGCTGCTGCCGCTGTGCCCCTCCTCCTTCCACCGCCGGTACCTGTCAATCAACTCGCTGAGGTAGGACGTCTTCTTACAGTGTTTGACGATGAACTTGTGCTTGAGGAGCTCTTTGGCTGTTGGACGCTGCAGGGGGGGGAGGAGGGGGAGAAAAAGAGTCTCCCTCAGTTTGAAGTTCTTTCAGTGGTTCGTGTGCTTGGATGAGAGGAGCTTTCCGTCCACCAGGGGGCGCCGGGCTTCCACACCTCCTCCTCTCACCAAGAACCTCTCAGACCAGAATGAAGGACAACGTCTACCAGCACAGAGTTGCAGTGATAAAAAGGCGTCATAGCTCTGCATCTCATTTAACATTAGAGAACTGTGCTTTGTTTTAAACAGACACTTAGAACATTTCCTGCCTTAAAGTCTGGTCAGCGCACCAGAGGAAAGGATTCTGTGCACAGTGAATGTGTGCAGCACGGCGCTTCAGCTCGGTCTGCACACAATGGGAGGGTGGCGTGAAGGTGGAGCGCTTACGAAGGTGGGGTCCTTGTTGAGGCACGCCTCGGTGAACTCCTTGAAGCTCTTGGAGAAATCGCCGCTCAGCGTCGGCGGCGGAGACTTGGGGATGTGGAACAGCACCCGCATGGGGTGCATGTCCGAGTTGGGCGGTTCGCCCTTGGCGAGCTCGATGGCCGTGATGCCCAGCGACCAGATGTCGGCCTGCGGGGACGGAGGGAAGAGCACACGGTTACTACGGACAGACGCTTCCTCTGTGAGGGGGGGGCGGAGCTCGCACCAGAAGGGGGAGGAGTCCCGACGTAATACACGTCCTATTTCAAAACATCAGAGACGCTTCTCATTGTGCAACGGCGAAAAAAGACAGTTTAAAGACGCACACAAGTTTATTCCTAATGGAGCAGTGAATGCAAACACACACACACACACACACACACACGCAGGTGTTTGGTGGAGGAAGGTTGTGAGGTTTTTAGGCGCACACACACACAACCTTATGCCAACAACACACACAGGTTGAATGTCATATGGTTTCAACCTGCTCTAATAACCATGTGGCAGCCCAGGTAACACACACACACACACACACACACACACGCACACGCCGGGGTCACATTACGGCGGGACGCTCGGTCACTGTTGACTGTTAACTCTGCCGGCTCCATTACTGTTACACACTGAACATATGGCAGTGAGTAGCAAGAGAACACACACACACACACACACACACCCTTAACAGCTAATTGTCGTAATCCTTTAACTGTCGTAACACGGCAGTCGAGTAAAACGTGAAGCTGCTCCTGATGTGTCGAATAACAACACAACTTTATCCAAAACAGACCAAACAACCACTTACGCACAATAGTGGAAACAATTAAAGATGAAAGCAACAATTTGACGTGAATGAAGAGCACGCACACACACACACACACACACACACACACACACACACACACAGACAGAGAGAGAAACACGTTGAACCACAAACTCGTAATGACGCAAACAAAAGACAAAGCGGGCGGCGTGGGGGGCGTGGCCTTGTTGCTTGGTTTGTTTGCTTTGTTGCTGAGGGATCACCTGCGACCATGTGACCCGCCCTCCGGCTCTTTGTGCGTCTGAGGGCGGCAGGTGCAGCGCTGAGCGCTCGGACACGTTGGGGGAATCTCCCAAATAAGCTTTTATTTGTCCCCTCAAATAACCGGCGAAAGTGTGCGTTTACTCTGACCGACGGCGAAGGGAGGCGATGCAAACGACTGCGGTCGCCACGGCGACATGCAAACACACGGCGCCGCGGAATCGGCGGCAGCGGAACGACGCAAGACCATAAAGAGAAGCCGGATCAGCGTCGCCGACCACGAGGGTTCGTTTACTGCCAACGAAACACTTCTAGCGCTACTTCAAAGTACTTCACCAATACCTCCAGGAGACCATCGAGTACACAACGGGGACTTCATGGACCAACATAAGACACATTGTAATAAATAAATAATGCATATGTTCAGAAGAGAGGGGGGGGGCTCACCTTGGAGTCGTAGGCAGACTGCTGGATGACCTCGGGCGCCATCCAGAACGGCGTTCCCACGAAGGTCTCCCTCTTGATCTGCGTGTCCGTCAGCTGACCCGCCACCCCGAAGTCGGCCAGCTTCACCTGCCCGTGCTCCGACAGCAGCACGTTGGCCGCTGCGCCGCATCCACACACACACACACACACCTCCGTCACTCACACGTTCGACTCGGTTCCAAACCGTCGTTTCTAGTTACTTCTAAATGATTCGATTATACATTCGATCATATTTATACGATACAAATGAATGAGTATCAGCAGTGGTAAATATAAGGGAAATGAATGCGTGTATTTGTCGTGCGTCGTACCTTTGATGTCTCTGTGGATCTTCTTCTCAGAGTGCAGGTAGTCCAGACCCTTCAGGATCTCCTTCAGCATGGTGGCGATCTGCGACTCATCGAACGGACCCGCCCGGAGCTGCACACGCACACAAAGACAAGGCGGTTGGTTTCATTTCATCGCCCTTCTTGTTTTAAGTGAATTGGATCAAACGTTGAACAAAGACTCACCAAGTCGAGCGCTGAACCTCCTCCCAGATATTCCATAATGATCCATAGTTTGCTTCCCTGAAGGAGATTCATAGACAATCAGAGGTGTCACCTACACTTCATACACACACATTAACGTAACTTTGATTCACTGCCTTTGATCCAGTACTTGTACAGGTAATACTGCAAGTAGTACCTTCAGATAGGAGCCGAAGTACTTGGTGATGTAGGGGCTGTCGCACTGACTCAGCACCGTGATCTCCTGCTGGATGTCCTCGATCTCGTCCTCCGCCTCCTCCAGGTCGATCGTCTTTATGGCCACAACGCTCTGAGAGCGGTTATCGATGCCTTTGAACACCTGCGGGGGGGGGGGGGGGGGGGGAGAGAAGAGGAGGATGATGAAGAGAAATGATGAAGGAGTGAAGGGAACATCGCTCAGAAATACAGTAAAGATTCTGACAATCAACTGAAATGTGAAGTGGGAGACTCACCTCCCCAAAAGACCCTTTTCCAATACGATCCAACTTAGTGAACA